CTTAACAGCATCTCATATAAATCTTCAAAATGTTTTCTAAAACAGCTCCAAGTCAAAGTCCTGTGAATCAATATCAGAGCTAGAAGCAACTAAGGATAAAGTAGAAAACAGGAAAAAATCTACTAAGCTAGGATTTGAAGTCTCTCAAAAGGTTTTTTGTAACCATTCACTTTGCACATTACATTTCATTACACATTCAACTGCACATGGCTTATATGAGATTTCATACAATGTGGAAAAATGGAATTGAATAACAATTTTACCATTAATTTTCTGAAGCTTCCTCATACAACAGTGGAAAACTAATTTGCTAAAGATTAAATGAGTGTGCATCAGAGTCGGGACTTAAATCTTGTTCTGAGTGGCCAACAAAGTTCTTCACTCCAAGAACATCGAGTTTTGAGTTGAAAACTTTGAGTCAAACCCAGGCCTTGGACAAGTCATAACTCTCTTGCCTTTGATGGTAAACTAAGACTAAAATCCTTATATGTAAAAATGTTTGGGAAGCAAAAACCACCAGATGGTTGTCATCTTATTTAGAGGGTGAGATAATTGAAAGACATATATTCCTCTATTTGGTATATTGAAACAAGGGGGAAAAAAAAAAATCTTAAGTATTATTCAATTTGGTATATTAGATTTTACTCTAGAAAAGCAGCAGAATACAAAGCTTTTAAATGGGAAAGTAAAGCCATATGCAATTTTAATGATAATGGTTTAGCATTGTTAGGTGCTAATGAGTCAATTCTGACACACCAATGACGCACAACAGAATGAAACACTGCCTGGTCCTGTACCATCCTCACAATTGTTAATACACTTGAACCTATCGCTGCTGCCACTGTGTGTCAATCCATCTTATTGAGGGTCTTCCTCTTCTTCACTGGACCTTCCATTTTACCAAGCATGATGTTCTTCTATTAGACTATTTAGGCATCCTAGAGTATTTTCGAACAGGTCCCTCCTGAAGTATGAGAGATGAGATCTCACTATCCTCACTTCTAAGGAACATTCTGCCTGCACGTCTTCCAGGACAGATTTGTTTTGGCAGTCCATGGTACTGTCAATATTCTCCAACACCAAAACTCAAAGGCATAGATTCTTCTACTGTCTTCCTTATTCACTGTCCAACTTTCACATGCGTATGAAGCTACTGAAAATACCCTGATTTGGGTCACGCACACCTCAAACTAATACCTTTGCTCATGAACACTTGAACGAAGTCTTGTGCAACAGATCTGCTTAATGCTGTATGTCCTTTAATTTCTTGACTTCTAGTTTCCATGAGTGTTGATGGTGAATCCAAGCAAAACGAAGTCTTTGACAACTTCAATCTTTTCTCCATTTATTATAGTCTGTAGTTGTTGTTAAATGCCATCAAGTCAGTTCAGACCCATAGCAACCTTGTACAGGGTCTCCAAGGAGCAGCTGGTGAGCTTGAACTGCCAACCTTGCAGTTCAAACAGCTTAGCAGTCTGGTGCATTTACCCACAGCGCCACACCAGATCCTATTCAATCAGGTGGTCTCTACTGCCATTTATACAAAGCTTTAACAATCTTTATCATTAAGTGAATTTTCAAATTCTAACTCAGTGAACTGGCAAATTCTGTGACCCCAAAAGCAATGTTTACACAGAAAAACGTGCACAACTGGTACAACCCACTTAGGGTCAATTTGAATGAGACTAACTGGCCCTGTGGGTTAAAGCACTGGACTGCTGCAAAGTCCATTTGAACCTCAAGGTCGGCGGTTCAAGCTTATACAGGGTCACTATGGGTTGGTACCAACTCGATGGCACTTAGCAATACTCAAATATTGAAAGTGCCACGGACTGCTAAATAAACAAACATCTGTCCTGCAGGAAGAAGTGCACCAGAATGTTCCTTAGAAGTGAGGATGTTGAGATTTTGTCTGTCATACCTCAGATGTTACCAGGAGGGACCAGTCTCTGAAGAAGAGTATCATGCTTGGTAAAGTGGGAAGATCCCCAATGAGACAGACTGACTCAGGGGCAACAGCAAAATGGGCTCCAATGGAACAATTGTGAGGCTGGCATACTGTTTCACTCTGTTGTGCATAGGTTATGAATCAGAACCGTCTGGACAGCACCTAATAACAACAGTGTCAGAAAGAACCCTAGTGGTGCAACGGGTTAAGCACGAGGCTACCAACTTCAAGGATAGTGGTTTCAAACGTACCAGTCACTTTTTAGGCAAAAGATGAGGCTTTTTCTGTAAACATGCACAGTCTTTGAAACCCTAGAGTTCTCCTCTGTCCTACAGGGTCACTGAGTTGAAGCTGACTAGACAGCAGTGGATCTTGGTTTTCGTCTTTTGTCTGTTTGTTGGGTTTAAACTCTGTATCAGGCACTATCTTGTCTTGCTCACTGCCTTCTCAGAGACAAAGACTCCCTAACTCACAACAATGTCACTGTGTGCCACTGAGTTGGTTCCAACTCATAGCAACCCTGAATAGGGTCTGAGGTTGGTGGGTTTGAACTCTCAACACTGTGGTTACCGGTCCAGTGTTTATCCTGCAACACCACTTCAAGGCCCATCAAAGTTATGGCTGTTTCTCAATTCTCAATCATCATTCTGTCCTGCAGCTGACTATGTGAACTGAATACTAAGGAGTAATCTTGCAGGAGTCCACGTGGCAATACAGGATGAGCCCCAGACCACAAGATCAATTTGAACTTTAAGGTGGTGGTTCAAATCCATCAGCTGCTCCTCAGAAACCCTACACAGGGTAGATATAAGTAGGAACTGTGGCAATTAACAACAACAATCTTGCACTAATGAAGAAAGGCTACATTTTAACATACTTTTCAAGGTTGTTGAAAGAAGAGAATACACAATCCAATTATTTAAATCTGGTTGTTTTATTTTGCACTTTTAAAATTCACAAAAACTTTTAACAATATCTGCTTTCCTCTGTTGATCATCAAGGCTTTATGAAAAGAAATTGAAAATGTTATCACATCAACTTGGGATGCTGTGGGAAACAATGGATAATTCACAAACAAATTCCTATAGTGAAGAACATTTTGCAAAACACACACTCTGGTCCACATTTGAACTCATCTATCCTAAAATTAGACTTTAAAAAGCTAAAATATAAAACAACAATAATAAAAAAATAATAGATTTAACACTGACAAGTCTACCAAAATAATGTTTATGGCAAGCTATATAAACAGCTTTACATATTGAATGTAATTCAAGAGTAGGGGAAAAGAAGAAAGTATCTGCTGACGATACACTTAAATGCATCTGTTATTAATCAAACATCTCTAATACAGTTTAACAAAGTGAACATCTCCTTTGCCTCTATGGTTGTTTCTCAGATTTTATTTTTAAACTTGTGACGTCTTGACTACAGGAGCTGAATGCTGGAGAGAGAGAGTACTTTCTTAGTCTTTCTAATGTAAGTAACAAAAGTTCCTATTAGGAAGAATATTGGAGATGATAGATGGAATTTCATTTTGGCTTATGATTTATAAAAATTAGATAAATTCAGCATCTAAATGGAAAAAAATAAAAATCCAACGTGGTCTGATTTAGGAAATTTTAAAACAAGTGTTACCCCCAAATTTTAAATTTGTGGAATAACATAATACATATATTTTGAGACATCCATTACAGGATTAGTTAAACTTATGATTTTGTTATTTCTACTTTTAATTACTTTTTTTTCTGCAGTAGTCCTTTAGATACTGTCAGTAGAGGTTACTAAAAATAAAATGCCAGAATTCAAGTGTGAAAGAATGGAAATGGGAAGAGGATGGGAGGATAATGAAATGGAGTAGTAATAACAAACATGATTTTTTAAAGTTTCCTCATTAACCAATGCCACAAAATTATATATTTTGGCTAAGTGCCACCGGACTGCTGGAAGTGATCAGGAAATGAGCAGATTATTTTAATCATCCCAGTTAGATTCTTAACTAACCCGTGATTTGGACAGCTCACTCATGAAGGGCTATTTACGTAGACTGCTATAATGGGTTTACTGCCCACTCTGCTCTGCTCCTTTCCAAAAGACTTTCGAAGAAGAACTAAGAACCTCTCACAAGCACAGCAGAAAAGGAAACCACTGGACTACAAACAGAGATTAACACATAAACACTCTACATGTAGCTTAGTCTTGGATGCATCAATTGTCTTATTTCTTGAGATGAAGCATATGAACCTATGGAAGAAAATAAAACCGCACTCTCCCACACTCACTACATTTTTCATTCCTGATTAGAAGTTTTTTGTTGTTGTTGTTTTTGAGAAATCTAAACTTTAAAATATTCCTCATCTTTCATTTCAAATTCCCCCTTTTCTGTTACTCTTTGTGTATGAGACTGTATAAGACTCACATATCAGTGAAAGTAGTCGGGATTATTTTAATAGAAGACACTGAATAAATGTACTTACGGGGGAAAAACAATTATATTCTGAAGTGTCTTTTAGAGATGTAAGTGTTCTAATTTTATCAATGAATGACAATTATTCTAAAAGTAAATATTCTCTAAGATAATAAAGTCTGCCATTTATTTGGACAGTACACAATAATATATTCCGTTACAAAGCCTAAGGAGTCAATGAAAGTTAAACCTCAGAATTCTAACGTTTTCACATGGTATTGTTACTCTGAAATGTTTAAGTGGAATGATCTCCAAATTGTAAACTACGTTGCTAAGACCAAACAATCGCGGACTGTGGAAGACTACAGACCATGAGTAAGTACAGAAAGTTGTCCTGTAGGACTGCTTTTGTCAAAGCCTGGAAAATTAATTAACACATCATTTTAGGAGGAAAAAAGGGGAAGAGGAACTCTACATGTAGATAGAAAACTCTAATGAAAATATCTCAAACTATTTTATATGTTTATTTGATATTGGAAATAATGGTCAACTATCATAAAGTTTCCTTCTTCATCACAAAAATTCCATATATTAAGGACTTACACAATCTAAGGAAAGAAACATTGTTTTGCCTGAGCAGGAAATCTAAAAAGGCTCTCCAAAATCTTGACCAGAGGTGTCATACTCTGCAATGAAATGCTTGAGTTCTTCAACACACCGCTCACCTATTTCATGTAAATTCTGCCTCAAGGCAAACTGTATAGATTTTTCTAATGAAGGATCTTTTTCAATCAGCATTTTCACAACCATCCCGAATGTTTCACAGTCTTGTCGGTACACCTAAAAATGTGAAATATATTCTGATTAGCTAAGAATGAAAATAATTAGCTGACGCTGTTGACTTATGAGCTGAAGTCTAAAAGAGAGATGCAATACTACACCTCTATTATCTATCAGAGGTCACTACTGCCAGAGGTCATTAAAATCTCTACCTTTTGAGATTTTCTGACAACTCCAAGCAGTAGAAAACCATCCATATGCCACAAATTAATACAGAAGGTTTCAGCAGGGCATTTGTCAGTATCAGACAATTTACTATAAGGGCACCAAACTGGAGGTAACAAGAGCTTGACAAAGGCTTAGGGAGGCACATTAATGACTCTGTCCATCTATCTGTTAGGAAGCAAAACATTCTTGAGCCCCAAACTTCTGGGTTTCTGTTTGAATCATGACCAGGTGGACGGCATATCGAAAATTCCTTTTAGAATACAGCGAACAACTGTAAGAATGTGAAAGCTACTGGAGGTGTAAAAGAGGGAGTGAGTATCCAGTTTATAAGTAGCTACCTATAGTTGCTCCTCAGAAACCCATACAGAGTCGCTATGAGTCAGAACTGACTCAACAAGCTACAGTTACAGCCACCAAAGGAACCCTGAAAGCACAGTGGTTAAAGTGCTTAGATTCTAACCAAAACACTGGAGGTTAGAACCCACCAGCAGCTCCTTGGGAGAGGAGAAAGAAAGATAAGGAAGTCCTGCTTTCATAAATATTGTTGTTAAGTGCCGTTGAGTCAATTCCAACCCATAGCAACCCTGTATAGGGTTTCTGAAGAGTAGCTGGTGAGCTTGAACTGCCGACCTTGCAGTTCAAATGGCTTTGCAGTGTGGCGCATTAACCCACAGCACCGCACCAGGACTCCCTGTTATTATTCCTAATATTACAGCCTTGGAAACCCAATGAAGCAACTCTACTACACTGTATAGGGTCGTAACGAACTGCGATCCATTTGATGGCAATGATTTGTTTCTTTTAAAGCCACCAAAGCAAAGTTATGATCAAAACAGTGGCTACACACAACACACACATGCATACATCTTACATGCATGTCTGTCTACATGTGTATGTTGTTGCTGTTGTTAACTGCCGCTGAGTCAGTTCCGACCCACAGAGACCCTGTATAGGGTTGGTTTCCAAGGAATAGCTGGTAAGCTTGTACCGGCAATCTTGTGGTTCACACTGACTTTGTAGTCCAGCACATTAGCTCACAGCACCACACCAGGACTCCATATATGTACATGTGCATGTATATATTTTAATATGATAGGATTTCAAAAAGTATGTGAAAAATACAGAATGAAAAGTTAACAGATTTTTTTTTTAAGAACTTTCTGAAGTCCCTCATATGTATATTTATCAGTGGTAAATAGATATTTAGTCTCCCCAAATTATAAATTTCTGTCACGTTAAATGTTATCCTCCCAGTTTGTAGTCACAAAATGAATTTTAGAATTATATGCCTTTTTGTAATTCATGTATTTAAAGAAAAATTACAGGTAAGCCTTTGTGTAAATTAAGAGAAATATAAATTCTCTGACTTATGACGTTTTCTGTTTTCCACATGGTGGTGGTTAGGGCTCTGGGTTTTAAAATGTTTGCACTGGTTTTGTTTTTTTTTTTGATTCCTTAAAAATAAATACTTTGAAAAGAGTATTTAATTTTGACTTTCAGTTCTGGGATGGTAAACGACATCACACTTTTTTCCCTTGTTCTTTAAAACCACTGACATGTTCCAGAGGAATTTAAAGGATAAGTTCTTCAATTAATGCAAAATTATGTAAAACCTTCAGTTTTTCTCCCCATCTCAGCACTAACACACATGCATGTGCACACGCACACTTTACGATGTAGTGATGAAATCTATTAATACTGGCCATAAAGTTCATTTCAGTTTAAACCAACCATTTTTACCAGTTTATCCTAAGATTTACATGACCCAAAATTGCTGTCAGTACTCCGATAGACCAACTTAGAAAATACTATAGTGTTCATATAATAATACATATGATGTCAGTGCAATACAGTATATTTTGACTGGCCTAACAAACACATAGCACCTAAGTCAAGTCAAGGTAGTCCCCATGGGGGAAAGTCAGAACCATGATATTTCACAGTCTTTTTGGAGGTGAATTCCTTACCAAACCAGTCAACCCACATAATAACAGCTTCCTAACAGCAGCCAAAGGCCTCAGCAGACCACTTACTTTGTGGGTGGCCTAAACTTTATAGATTTCTTTATAGGAGATGCACTAGATGAGGATCATGTTACGTTGTGAATTAACCTGTACATTCTTTAATGTAAATCTGCTGCTTTACCTAAATTGCAACTCTTTGATAGTATATTTAAAGAATATAAACATGCTATAGATATGCACATCAAAAAATAAAACCCTATTATATGCATTAATACACCTATTTCAACTACAAAATGACTGTCACACCGGAAACAAGATAATAAAAAAGATTTAGAGTTTGCATTTTCTTTTTTAATTATAAATCTTCTTTAGTCACTGAAATATGCAAATGTCTGTACATTAGTGAACAAGTACAACCGGAACTGCAGAAAGCAATGTAATTCTCTACTACAGAGATTTTAGAAAGACTTCTTTAAAAAAATTTTTAGAAAGACTTCTTAAAATGTACTACTTGGACATTAGACAGGAAAGAATTAATTTTATGTTCAAGGAAGAACCTCAGCAGCCAACATATTATAAATAAAATTCACAGCTGTCAGAAACCTACTTCCGAAATTTGTTTCACAGTAAACTCAATACCAAAACAGGAAGGGTGTAGTTATCTGTAGGAGAGTTTGTTTGCTTATGGTCCCAGACTGGAAATACACTAATAATCTTCAGATTTGATATCTAAAAGCCACACAGGAAGGTTTTGTTGTTGTTTCCCTCCCCTCTCTCTCCTCACATCCCCTTGAACTTCATCAAAATGGGAAACAGCTCAAAGTACAGGTTTGTTGTTGTTGTTGTTGTTGTTAAGTGTTGTTGTTAAGTTGGTTCCGAGTCATAGTAACCACACATAGGGTTTCCAAGGAGTGGCTAGTGAGCTTGAACTGCGGACCTTGCAGTTCAAAGCTAGACTTGCAGTCTAGTGCATTGTCATACCTAGAGCTCACATAAACTGCCTAGAAACAGTTAAATGTACCAAGATAATGAAAACACTCTCCAAATGTGATTTCACGTAGTCCTTTATGTTACGAGTGAAATTCTCACAAAGTACTTGCTGTATCTTCTATGAACTTTGCTGTCGGGTAACTAGAATAATATTCTTAGTAGAAAATTTGTCCTACCTAGAATTAAACCATAAAAGTCCTCTGAAATATATTTACATCTTATCTCTTTTTCCACAAAAAGAGAACCTCAAAATTAAGATAGAGTTGTAGTTATTGTTAAGTGCCGTCGAGTTGATTCTGACCCATAGAGACCCAGGATAGGGCTTCCAAAGAGCAGCTGGAGAGCTTGAACTGCCTACCTTGTAGTTCAAATGGCTTTGCTATCTGGTGCATCAACCCATAGGGCCACACCAGGACTCCCAAGATAGAGTAAGAACCTCAAAATTAAGATAAAGTATTCTGGCATTGCAGGATAATGCACTGAACCACAAGGTCAGTTTGAGAACAGCAAGGTTGACGGTTCAAATCCACCAGCCACACCTCAGAAAAACTATACATGGTCACCATGAGTCAGAACTTGATATCACTTAATAACAACAACAAAGTTGTTGAAAGAATTTTCATCTCAGAAAAATCATGGTGAACATATGCATCACAGTTCTGGAAGAGTAGTCTGGTGGACAGTGTGTGGCTATTCAAATCTGGCTATATATGTATCTTAATAATATTCTGTTTATAATTTATATTAAGATGTAACTGGTTAATTGCAATGTCAGTCAGATTAATAGCCAGACGTGTGTGCGTGCATGCAGGTGCATACACACACACAGAGCCTTAAAGAGTTGGGGAATTAGAGTATCATTTCCTCTATTACTGATACCTCATCATTCCATAAGGCTTCCTGGTAGCACAAAGGTTAAGGCCTTGACTGCTAAGTGAAAAGTCAGTGGTTCAAACCCACCAGTGGCTTTCTTGCTTCACAGGAGAAAGATGTGGTAGTTGGCTTCAGGAAAGACTACAGTCTTAGAAACCCTATGGGACAGTTCTATGCTGTTTTATAAGGGCTGCTCTGAGCCGGAAATGACTGAATGGTACACAACATAGTTCTATATCATTTTCTTTACCTGACTTATCTGGTTCAAATGCTACATGTTCTGTTTCATGAGGACTATATTGAGAGAAATAAACTCAGGTGACTGATATACAAAGAAGGCATGTAGATGTAGAAAGAATGTAGAACAGTGAAGTGGTTGTAAAGAGCAAGTTTCTTGAGATCAAATCCTGATTCTTCTACCATCATAGGCTGACTAATACCTGCCTTAACCCTAAGATGTCCACATTCTAGTCCTAGAATCTATGAATATGATAATTTACATGATAAAAGGGATTTTACAGATGAGACTAAATGAAGGATTTTGAGATAGGAAGATTATCCTGGATTATCCAGGAGGACAAATATAATCATTAGAGTCATTATAAAAGAGGAATGTAGGAAAGTCAGAAAAAGAACAATATCATGATGGAAGCAGAGACTGAATGGTATGCTCTGAAGATTCAGGGAGGGGGCCTCAAAAGTAGATGTACTTAAGAAGTTGGAAAAGGCAAGGAAAACGATTTTTCCCTAGAGCCTCCAAAGGCAGCAGCCCAGTAAAACCCATTTCAAATTTCTAGAATGAGAAAATCATAAATTTCTGTTGTTGTAAATCACTGAATTTGAGCAATTTGTTACAACAATGAAAAAAGAAATGTAACTACTTACCAGTTCTATGCCCTAAACAAACTCCTTACAAAGATTTCAGCATCCCTCTGTCAAGGACGGAGAGATCCAGCAGCAGTACATCAATAAGTATACAGGTGAACCAAAAGCATTACATCAAAC